CACAACGGCGTTTAATATTGCAATTCCGTTTTCACGCTATTTTCTCTTACACCCTTTTTTCCGCAATTATTTCGGAAAATGAAACCTTTGCGTTTAATAATGAAAATAAAACTAACCATGGAAACGGCTCTGATTTTTACATTACGCTTAAAGATATACATCGCGCGATTTATAAATATAAATATATTACTATATTCTAAAAAATATCACAACTCGTTACAATTAGAATCATCCATATCCAGTATGTAACAGGATTCTCAATCTCTTATCAAAAGAGTGACTTCGCCATATATAGGTCTCTATTTTTTTCTTTAACTTTCTTTCTCATTCTTGAACTGTCATCGCGACAATCTTACGAACACGCATACACGCGCGTGTGAATTACAATTTACATAGGAAATTCATGCAATCGCATGCATCTTGATTTGTTAGGCACTGTTTGTCCAAGTTTCGCGCACGTTAAAGCAACATTTCTATTATTTGTGAGAAATTTGCGACCCTCCTCAGTTTTCGTAATAATACAAATATTTGCCTTAGACACAACAGCGCCTCTGTTTGCGTTTCACCAATGTGTGTTCCCTTCTTAAATTTTTCTTACAAATATATACATAATATTGGAATTATCAAAAGTTTACCTCTGCTGACTTGCAACGATATCGCGTGTTTACTTCGCGGGAAGATTGTATCTTACAAGACTAAAGTGCTGCAAAGTAGCGTTATCACAGAAACGATTATTGACGTACCGAACGATGAACCTGCAAATGAAAATTGAGCCAAATGAATAAAGTCAGAGCGTTTCTTCCGTAAGCAAATTAATTATGAACTAATTAATAATTAATATTTTCATCTTAATATGTAGGATATATTAATGGGAGACATATCATTCACTCACCGGCACTCACGCATTTATCCTCTTGCCTGACAAGATTCTTGACGCACGTGCATTTGTTAGCCTCGCACATCACAGACTTGATCGGCGAATCATTCTCCTCGTAATCCTCGGCTTGATAGCACTCGTAATTATTCGCGCAACCATCGTCGAGAGCTGTAAAATAATGTAAATGATTCTTTGGCATCTACTATATATGTATATATTTTTTTATTTTTTCGACGCGCGATCATTTATCGCTCTTGCGATATATTGCGATAAAACGATTATACGAGTACCTCTGTTGGGAAAACACCTCGCCAAATCGTGCTCGTAATGATAATCCGATTCGCACTGGCACTTTTTGTCGAGGCACAATGAGTTTTCGAACGTCGCCGAGCACTGTACCGATTCCGTGCATTCGTCCTGAATCTTTATCGCAGCCATCAGACATCTCTTGCCGTCCATATTCAGGACCGATTCGGACGCGCATTCGCACTTCATATCTTTTGTACAGATCACACCCTCAATATGCGAGCATTCCTGATTTTTCGTGCAAGGTCGCCTGTATCCTGCAAATATAATTATGCCAGAGAGAAAACTCTCTCTCTTTCTCGATTACATCGCGAATTGATGTAATCGGGAAGATGCGAGAACTTAAATATTGTCAAAGTCGTTCCGAATCATAAAAAAAAAAAAAAAATTTATACTGTCGCTTTCCGTATAATACAATTTTATAATAAGTAGATTATTATTAGTAGCACACCTACCGGCCATTCTCCAACATGCATTGTCTATGTAATAATAACCGGATACGCAAACGCATTTATTAGCCTCACAAGTGGTGTTCGCCAGAAACGCTAAACACTGATTTTCATCTGTGCAAGAAGCATCGATCGAACGGACCTCTATATATTTAAAAAATCATGTACATCAATAATGTGTTAATGTGCAAAAACAAATAAATTTTATATGATCTTTAATTCGCGACAGAATTCAAGATCGAGTTTTATGTATGATTTTATATGTAAAATCTCTATTCAAATGAAAAAGTATCTAGTATATTATTTTTATCTTTACTTTATTTTATTTTTTCTTAAACAAGCATTTTTGTACTTTTTTTATTTTTCTATACTTACTTTGGACACAATGTTGCTTATTCTTCGCCGGCACGTAATCCTTCACGCAATCGCACTGACTAATAGTACTGTTACAAAATCCGCCCTCGTATTTACAGTCTTGATTGTGTTTGCATGTTCGATAGAATAGCGGGCCTAAAAGGAAAATATTTTATTACTCGCGCAGTCGTTTATTGAAGAGAATACGGTAAATAAAAAAGAGAGTATAAAAACTCTAATATATATTTAAATCATGCTAATTATGAATCACCTGGGATTTTATTTTCGTGCATAAACGCTTGAATGCTTGAGCAGAATTTAACTCCGTTATCTACATTCGGGCACATGCAATATCCGTCCTTGCAAAAAGCATCTCTCGGAAGTGTCAGCATGCTCCTACAATCTGACGTGTTTCCGCACGGGATAGGCGTGTCTGCAACCGGATCGGTCGTTTCAGAAAGGACGTGCGTCATAAACGAGGAAATTTATCGAGGATAAGATAAAGGTTCCATCAAGTTGTCTATATTATATACATATTATATTCTTTGTTCTAGGAAGACAACAAAGACAACACGTTTCAATAAAAGGATAAATTAATTGCTCCGATTTGACCATAAGATCGTAAACGACAAAAATTTAATCCGTGATAAATTTAAAATGTTTAATTTATCCGAAATATGTGAAGGATAATATTCATCGCAAACTTGGAAAAGTCGAGAGACTTCCGGCAGAAAAGATAAATAACATCGTCTTGGCATTCGACGCAGAAAAAATATTTGTCTGAATATTCTACGAGTGTTGTCAAAATAATTAATTTTAGAGACACGTGTCAATATTATAATAAACAACAGATTGTGCTATATATAATTATGACGTGTCGTAATAAATAATATAATAAATTTAATGACATGTGATAATAATAAATTTATCTTGTGACGTATATTCATATTAAGAAGTCGAAAAATGCGTATAATTAATATACCTACGCGTAGAGGAAACGAGTGATTTATTCGACGACTACATTTTGCGTAATTAATAAGGAAATGCGTGTTTGGAAAGGTAAACGTACTTAATAGCGAGATGAGCAAACACAGAGAAGAAAATGTTAAGATTGATAAGAAAATGCTATGTTATTATGATTCATGTGCCGTAAGTCATAACCGTTGAATATATCAAGTATCATGCTCGAATGATTCAAATGTTACAGATGACTAATGTAAGTATTATTCGGAATATCTCAGATTTAACGAATCTTTAATCTTCAATTTCATTAGTCAATTTAAAATCGTTTTTTCCTTAGATGAAAAATCAAAGGAGACTGATATAATACAGACTTTTTGAAATTATATATAAAAGCATTCTAAATTGTTTTTGTTCTAACATCTTAATTCAATTAATTACTTACAATTATAATTCGTATTTTGCACGATATCTAAATATAGAAAAAAAGGACAAAGAGAGAGGCAAATTCGACGAGATCTCTCTCGGAAGAAAAGGTCACTCGTGTCACTTTGAACGTTACAACGCGATGTTTACATGACAGCGTAAACGTTACTTCATCATTTCATAATTATATATCAAGCGTGCCGACGTGAGTCTCGTAGAACGCGAGAATCTCGAGGGCTCGCAAATTAAAATCAGCGAATTAATCGGAGCGTGATTAAAAGTGATTCGACTCACCGATCTTTTCCGCACTGGTGAGACTAATTGTCAGCATAATCGCGCTCATCGTCAGAGCTGTGTACGTTCTCATGCTGAACAGATTCTTTCCTCCTCCGGTCGAGATCGATACCATTGTGATACTTGTTCGCTCTCACCGGGTCCTTAACTCAGTCTATCTCAGGCCGGACCGTCAGACGTAGATCATCGGTCCGCGATCAGCTTATGTTGGAGCTTTCGCGCGCGACTGACGAAGGCAAAACCGAAACGCCGAAGGCCTCCTCGTCCCGTTTGTTGTCTCTCAACCCCGCGACCGTGCTCGCAAACACACATTCTGTATGTTCGTCCCTCTCTAACTGTATCTCTGCACTCTCCCCACTACGATATCGTTAATTTTCTCCCGACTTCAAAACGTCCAGTAAATTCGATCGAGCCTTTTCAGAAAAATATTCAATTGTTTTATTAAGCCCTCTGACATCATGAGGCAGTTGTTGTATAATCGCGTCGTTTTATAGCCTCCTTATATCGCACGTTATTCTTTCTATTTTATTACACTCGGTACGCGTGCGTGTTTAACTATCCTGTCAACTTATTAAATTATGCTTTCTACAAGAAGCTAGAAACAATTGTTTTCAAGTAAAAATGAGATGCAAAAGCATAACTGCATTATTTGTACAAATAAACGCTTTGTATTTTAAGATACTCATCGTTAGAATTCGTTACTTCATCATTTTTAATAATCACGGTTTAACTCTCTTTTTTCACACATTTGTTCATTTCCTTTACGTTCATTTATTCATTTACCATATCGTTTATTTCGTCATACGTTTATTTATTCGCTTATTTCATTGTTCGCGGCTCTTCTCTTTTAATCAATTTCAATTCTTATAATGTGAAAACCAGACGAAACCAGACTTTAATGAAACTATAAACTTCTACGCCTCACGATGGTCATGTATTGCTAACTAAAATTTTATGATTATATACAGAGTGTCCCAAAACCTCTGAATTTTCCTTCGGATTCTCTAGCCAATTTGGAGACGATTTTTCTTGAGTAAAAATGTTGAAAAAGATCGTCATATTTTCAGCTTCCAATATTTTTATATATCTTTGTAAAGCCTTAAATTAAAATTTTCTGAAGATGAACTCCATCTGAAATTAACTGAAGAATGTAGTTATGTTAATTTTTTGACTCAGCAAAATTCAGTTTGCGAAGTGTTTTTTGCTGAGGAAAAATCGTCTGCAAATTGGCCAGAGAATCTGCTCTTAAAAGAAAATTCGGAGATTTTGCGACATCCTATATATTTTAGACATGTATACACATTATATATCATACATGTTACAATATTTATCATATTTTATTTCTTCGTAATTTTCGCACTTTAACAGAACGCATTCGATGTGCATTGTATTCTACGAGTTGCCAATAGGATAAGCGGATAACTTGTAGAAAGATGAACGCGTGTAAAGTATCACACGAGTGTGAATGAGTATGTAAGGCCACATAGTATCCGTAATGATAATGAAGAAGCACAATGTAATACGGTGAAGTTGAATTCGCAAAATTATTGCTATCATGGCACAAACTTCCGTTGAATGAACTTGACCAATCGCTTTAATATAAAATTAATTTATGTTATTCGCGTATATTTTATTGTATTTCATTTTGTTGTATTTTCTTTATTTAATCAACACCAGAAGGAAAATATCCCATTTATTAAAAACTTTTAATTAGAAAGTAATAATTATATCATAATATTATTGCGGTAATACTATTTTTACAAGTTCGCTCAGTCTTATACAAATAATAAACATTAATTTCAGCTGCTTCATTAACATTAGCTTCTTCCTTAAAAATTGGTCAATTATGACCTCCTCTTGGAATTAAACATTTAATTAAACATTTTAACTATTCTTTTATGTAGAATATATATTTTACTCTTCTCCAAATTATTGAATATTATGAATCTCCTTTTTCTATCGCAGATTCAATTTACGGCTCTTCTTTTTTCATTGCTACAGGCTTTTATAGTATTCATGTTATTATTGAAACATTATTTCTTTTAATTTGTCTTTTATGAATAAATTTACTTCATTTTAAAAAATTTCATCATTTTAGATTTGAAGCAGCAGCATAATATTGACATTTTGTTGATCTAATTTGATTTTTTATATATTTCAATTTATTGACGAAGATATTATAAATTTAATTAAATTTATAAAATTTAAATTTTAAATATTTATATAGTATATTCAAATTACATTTAACTTCCAACTAAAAAAATTAATTTTATTGTTAATATAAATAATTTTATCTCTTTTAAACGCGAATATTTTTCGCTGTTTTCAGCTTCATTGTGACGTGGTTGTCGCAAATTCATAAATCAATAATGCGACATGTTTTGTGTTTTTATTTTAAACAGTAATAACGAGAAAGTGACACAACAGGCAGTTCCGATATATTTCATAAGCCCGCAATTTATCGCGGTTTGAAGAATATTCAGTTGTTTGAATTACTTTTCTTTCTATCGCAAAATAAATTATCAATGCAATAATCGGAAATAAGAGTGAGATCCTTGTTTCTCTTGAATAAAAGTAAATCAATCTATCGGGCGTCGCTCTTAATACCGGCTACAGTGAATGTGTTTCGTTCGATAAATGAAACCTCTGATTCATTTCAGAAGAGATATCGCTAGATACGCCTAAGAGATAAGACGTTTATCTGACGAAGGCGTATGTCGTAGCGCGAAATGTGCCATGATGTTCCCTATCTCGCGCAGTCACCTGGATATGCTTTCACGTTCGCATCTGATTTTGGATCTCCAATGACGACTCTTGTCCGCGTCTCACTCATCCTGTGCGCGCTCGCCGATTATTCTCGCTGTCAGCAGAGTCGTAAGTTCCCTCTTCGTAATTTATACCCTTCGTAAATATTCTCCGACGTAAAATGCGTCGACGTAGGCAGAGTCATAAGAGATAACGTTTATATTCGACAACACAACAGAAAAAAAAAGTCTGAAGGAACAGATGTAAAAGAGACCTAATTATGTACATTTTCATTTTTTTTTCAGATGTCCTTTAGAAAAGTTTAAAAAACATATTATATGTTGGATATTTTTTCTTCTCGCTAAACATTTTTAAAAAGTTTTAATCCTTTACACATCTCTCATATACTTGAAAAAGTTCCAATTTTTTAGGACATCTTTAAATACTCTTTTTAGAATGTTTGTCGGTATCAAAGTATCTGTTGCTGATAGCGAATCGCGCGCTACAAAAGTAGATAAAGCTCTACCGTATTTTTCATTTTCAATAATTCTTACCTATTTTCTCTTCAACGATTAATTAATTCTTATTACAATACTAATTTATTGCTCGTTTTAGTGGAGCACGCTATCAACGTACAGATTGGTGGCAGTTGCGGGAGGGACATCGAATGTATCGAGAATGCGTTCTGCCGAGGACAGCAAAACTGTTTGTGCGATCCGTATTACTCGCCAAGTCCCGATAAATCGCTGTGCATTGCCAGTGAGTGTTTGCTAGAAAATTTTTATCGCGCGAGGCACAAAAACGATAATTACGCTAAAATCCATGTTTTACAAATTCTCCGGATTTTTGCATAAAATCGTACAATTAGACACACACAAGCTGCGTCTACTAAATATGCTCGCACTTATTTTATATCCATTTACTTTTGATTTGCCAGCGCTTATCTTCCGTTTTTCCGAACAATAAGACTTATTCATCATCATCTTCATCATCTTCTAGCCGTCGGGCTGAGCTGCGAGGACCATATGACATGTCAAACTATGGCGAATGGCGAATGCAGGCAAGGCAGGTGCGCTTGCAAGGACGATTTTTTCTTAGACAGCAGCAATTCGTCAAATTGTATTCCCAGTGAGTAATCGCGTGATTTTTATCGTTATTTTCGAAAAATCACAAAAATGAAGAGATATTAAAAGTTACATCTTGTAGCTTCGATTTCGACAAACGGTTGAAAAGAAAAAAATGTTACAGGACCCGCCAAGATCGGTGATCGCTGTCAAATAACGACGATATGCCAGGAGAGTTTCGATTATGCATTATGTATCAACGAACAATGCCAGTGTTACTCGGGATATCATTTTGTAAATGAGACGCAAAATTGCGTTCGAGGACAGCAAAACTGTTTGTGCGATCCGTATTACTCGCCAAGTCCCGATAAATCGCTGTGCATTGCCAGTGAGTGTTTGCTAGAAAATTTTTATCGCGCGAGGCACAAAAACGATAATTACGCTAAAATCCATGTTTTACAAATTCTCCGGATTTTTGCATAAAATCGTACAATTAGACACACACAAGCTGCGTCTACTAAATATGCTCGCACTTATTTTATATCCATTTACTTTTGATTTGCCAGCGCTTATCTTCCGTTTTTCCGAACAATAAGACTTATTCATCATCATCTTCATCATCTTCTAGCCGTCGGGCTGAGCTGCGAGGACCATATGACATGTCAAACTATGGCGAATGGCGAATGCAGGCAAGGCAGGTGCGCTTGCAAGGACGATTTTTTCTTAGACAGCAGCAATTCGTCAAATTGTATTCCCAGTGAGTAATCGCGTGATTTTTATCGTTATTTTCGAAAAATCACAAAAATGAAGAGATATTAAAAGTTACATCTTGTAGCTTCGATTTCGACAAACGGTTGAAAAGAAAAAAATGTTACAGGACCCGCCAAGATCGGTGATCGCTGTCAAATAACGACGATATGCCAGGAGAGTTTCGATTATGCATTATGTATCAACGAACAATGCCAGTGTTACTCGGGATATCATTTTGTAAATGAGACGCAAAATTGCGTTCCGAATCGAGGTAGTGTACAGATTCTTTTTATGAAAGAAGGAGAGATACATTTATACATACGATATATTAAGATACTGAGAGAGAAAGAGAGAGAGAGAGAAAAAAAGAAAAAGTATCAAAGCAAGAAAAAAAAATTAATATATTGTTCCAGACTTATATACTTCTTGTGCAAAAGACTACGAATGTTACGTGGACAACAAGTCCCTGGACATCTTAGAGTGTAAGAATGGTCAATGCGTGTGCAAGGAAGGGGAGCCGCAATGTGCCAAAGGTTAATTGCCTTTAATTGCATCGTTACAAGCTAATTCGGGCGAAGCCCGTTACTACTTTGAATTGTTTTTACCTCTTTTTTCTCTTCTCGTAGGTTCTCTTGTCACGGCCGCCGGAATAATCGTGACAATCTCGTTGTTGCTACAACGAATCGCTCAATAGTGACTAACAATAAATGTATATATATATATATATATATATATATATACATAATTTATTCTATTTTACAATGTCATTATTTAACCCGCAAAATTAACAAATCCGCGTAAATCATTAAACTACACATATATAATTTGATTTTATTATATTCCATTTTTGTATTGTATTTGTACTTCTAATAAATTCTTTAACGAGATGTTCGAGAGAGAGAGAGAGAAAGAGAGAGACACGTAATAGAATCTTATAAAAATTCCGCAACTTTTTCAAACAAGATAAGAAAAAGTTATCACATGTAAATATCCATATTTAACGATTTTTTTTTTTTAATTACGTTCTTTTTTCCATTTTTTACCATAGGCTAAATTCCAAGTATACTGCATACCTCTAATTTCATAAATACAAAAAAGAGAGAAAAAGATACAAATTATCGTAAAGATCTATAATAGATAGATAGAAGATGTTTAAGCTCTGCACTCAACTTTCTTGCATTAAAGACGATAGACATATGTTTAAGCTTTGGCGAAAGAACGACTTCAATCTTCAATACGAGCTGCCAATATTAAGAAAAATCATTCGCATACGTATGCGTTCATTCAGCTGTACGTCACACATCATTGATACCGCTAGTTAAAACGGCACAGTAGAACCGAGTGCGTATTTAGCGTAGAGCGCAAACGTATTTAACTGCGCACGCGCATCGAAAGTTTCGCTTGGCTGCTAATCAGCTGATACAGCTGATAGCTGGTGACTTAACCGTAGTGATTTTATTCGGAGTCGGAAAACCGAATGTATATCGCACAAATAACAAATTCTAGCGCATGCGATACGTAATAGATAAAGGTAAGCTTTATCAGCGTTTAATAAATCAGCAAGCAATGTATAATATATACTTAACGAAGAATAGTATATAATGTGAAAAAGTTTAGGTTATGTTTGAATATAAATTGGAGAATAGAATTATATTTCTGTATTAAAGTTAAGAGAAATTGCACGACAGATTATCTGCCAAAGTTTTTTCATTTACAATTTATTTTCTCTCATTCTCTTTTCAGTATGTCTTGGATCGTGAAATCTGTGCGAGCCGCTGTAAACACATGGACACCGCAAGTGATCCCGGTGCGATTTCGCTATTACAAGGACAAAGTGGCCGAGGGCTCGTTAAAAAGGCGATATGGATACGAAGATCCTATAGATATGCGGGGCCTTCTACCGCGACAGGACAATAAGCGACTGCCGATGCCGATCTATCGGCCGAAAGATACCTGGTGCGAGAGGAAGGCACTATTCGGACAGAACGACTACATTGACTTACTGGGCTCCGATAGTCTCCATCCGACGAGAATTCTCTATAACGTGCCCGCTTGGTTGCGTGGTGTCAAGGGCAACGAGTATCAAGTCTTGTTGAGAAAGAAAAAGATATGGCAGAAAGGGATATTTCCAATCGCGAGACCAACAAAGTGGAAAGAGCTGGACAAGAGAATACGCTACTTGTACAAATTCCTAAATCGTAAGACGAAACAATAAAACAATTAGTTGGATTGCGATATATAACCGTGTAATTAAATTATAATTAAAATATATACAGTACCTGTGTTTTCCAATAGTTTCCGAGTATTTTATCGACTTCTTGTGTTTCGCAATATTAATTATAAATACAATTCACTATTCTCAATAATGTGGTTATGAAAAATATATAAAATAATGAATTTATTTATTGACAAATAATTATCCATCGGATATACGATTATTTCACAACATTGAAGAACGCAAATATTTTTCACGTTAAAACGCAGATTTTCGCCGTAGAAAGATGAGAGAGATACGTGATGCATCGTGATCACACACGGTATATGTACATAGTCACAGTTGGAGTATTCATGTTTAATAGTTCAACATATATTGCGAAATGATCGCGAAACAGAAACATGCATCTCTGAAGTAGTCTTTCTGATAAACTATTTGAATAAATTGAGTATTGTCCATTCCCCTAAAAAGTAGTCACAGGTAGCCAATATTATCACCGTTATGAACCTCGACAATAGTTGATTAAAAATGGCTATTTCGAATGTATATTTTATGCGCGTTTCATGATATTTTCACATTGCCATTGAAAATTTGCATAGTCGACACATATGTGTAAGTCATACATTATAAATTCCTTGCTAGAAGTTCGTCTTGGTATTAATTATACGCAATATGTCGGCAATTCACACATTGCGCGATAGCGAATACCCTTTGCATTGAAAATGTAATACTATCTTAAAAGCCCCATAGAGGCACACATTTTTTTGTACAGAAATTAATACAGATACTTTACTATCTAAAAGTATCTTTCCGTCTTAAGTTTCCTGCGTGTTTACATAAATTAATGGCAGTAAACTTTCGTTTGAATGACTACTACCGAACAATATAAAAGAAAAAAAAAAAGAGAACATCGGTTCATAAGTGATTTTGCAAGAAGGACAGCAAAGTTGTCTCGTAATGCTTGCTAGCATCCAGGCTTCTCAAACTGTGCCTCTCGTTGGGGTAAACCTGTAACTGATACGGTTTACCGATTTTCACAAGGGCGTTAATCAGCTGGCTAGTGTGATAGAAATGTACATTCTCGTCTATAAGACCATGAATGATTAACAATCGATTCTCTTCATCGGGGAATTTGTTCACATATGTCAGGATAGATCCGGCCATGTAACCGTGAAGATTGTTTTGTGGCAAATCCATGTAACGCTCGGTATATCCGGTATCGTAAAAATTCCACGAAGTAACCGGAGCACCAGCAATGGCCAGCTGCGACATAACGATATTTTTGAACACGTTTTTTTTTTAAATATACAATAACGATAAAATGTCAATCCGTACCTTGAATACGTCGGGGTACTGTATCAAACCCATCAAACTTAAGTATCCGCCGTAAGACCAGCCGTGAAGAGCCACACGATTCAGATCTATGTATCCGGTAGTTTCTGATAGCCATCTCAATACTTCAACTTGATCGTTCAGCTCTACCATTCCCATTCTACGTCGTAAGTGGCTCTCGAATATCAGACCTCTATGCTGCGATCCGCGAGAATCGATTAAAACTACACAATAACCTTGAGCAGCCAGCATGTGCATTCGTAAATGCCTTAAGCCCTGTAAGAAGCATTAAATTAAATCTTTTTTTTTTATAAATTTCACATAGCATGCATCTATATAACTGAAGAAACGTATTTACCTTAAATGTATTCGATACGAGTTGAACTTCGGGTCCTCCATAAACGTTCAATATTGTAGGATATTTGACTCCGGGTTGGAAATTATGAGGCTTGAATATCATCGAATAGATGGTATCGCCTGACTTTATTTTATGCGTAAAAATCTCCGGCGCGAACAACTCGGATTCAGGCGCCGATGGTTCTAAAAGGTAGCCTACAGGTGTAAGTGATATACTTTCCACCGTCCAGTCGGTCTGTGAGATTTTAAATACCTGGAACAATAAAGATAATAATTATCGACAATCGTATAAATTAAAGTTAATCATATAAATTGGCGACAGCCTATTCGATGAAAGACGTACTTGACAAGTGGGCAGCGTTTTAATGGAACTATAAACGGTGACCAACATCGTGCACTCTTTATTAAAATATACACTGTTGTAACTGTAACCTGGTCGTGTCAAGAGTCGTATCTCTAACGGTCGTCGCAGGGAAACCGCGTAAACATGTTGCTCTAACGGCCCTTCTCGTAATCCGCAAAAGTATACGATGGAATTGACTTCGTCGATCCAAATTTTCTTCCCCAGTACTTCCCAATCGCCCTGTGTCAGGGCCACCTTGGAAGTGATACGCGGTCGAAGAAATATGCTATCCATTCTATCCAAAGACTCTTCCACACCATTACTCAAGCCTATGATGAGGAGAATATATTACATAGACAAAAAGAATGTTGAACAAGGAAAAAAATAACGATAATCCCTTTACAAACCTGCTATACTGGACGTTATAAGATATAAATGTCGAAACTCGGATTCCTCGCTGCCCCAGATAAATTTGACTTCGTTTGCATCGTCGGACTTTAGAAAGTACAACAGATCGTTCACGTTGATCCAAGTCGGATTCTGTTCCGAGTATATCACTTGAACACTTGCTGACGCGGGCGTAAAATGGTTTTCCGTATTGTACGTGTTGGGTGGCGGTTCGCAAAAGTTGTCTATCGACAACAGGACTAACTCGAGTTTCTGTTGCTTCCTGTCTAGCAGTTGTACCCAGACGCTACGCATTAACGAAATGGGATATTATCAACTCTCATTAATTAACATGTGTTTCGCATATGGTTCCCTGAAACTTACTATTGAGCGTCGGGAGTCCAGCCAACTCTCACCATGTACTCCATCCAAGGGAACATTATGTGAAGAGGATACTGAAGCTCTAGTATTTCTATATCGATAATTTGTAACGATTCCGTCAAGCGGAACTGCACCATCTTCAAGTTACTCCTAGCATTCGGCATACCTGCTCTAGGAAATCTAAATTCGTCCACTTCATAGGAATTCGCCGAGGGGAAGCAATATATCTTGACGTCACTCTCGTCCACTTCTTCGTACACTATTCTATAGATACCGTCATACATGGATTTTGGCTGCCACCAGTAACCGATATATCTAAGATAAGAGGAACAAATTTTCTAATTTTCGCGCTTTTAGTATGCGAGTATCCAATAATAAAGAGACCAACCTTGTAAATTCCTCCTGCATAACATAGGAGGGGGTACCGGCCGAAAGTGGATCATCCACGAGACTTCTGCCACCTTTTTTAGCATGAGTCAATCGAACTGAGGAGCCTGTGATACTGTGAGACAGGTATAGATCTCCAGAACATGTGTGAGCGATTAATGCATTGTTCCAGGGACAGATCTGAGGACATAGTTTTGCTCCAGTGGTCGACATTCTGATTTCTGATGGGAAGAGTGGTCCGGGCTAGTAGAAAAATGTATATGTTTAGACATTTTGCTCCATTATAATCATGATAACACACATATTACCATAAATCCAGTGTCCACACATTGATAAAGACTACTAGCAGCTGGAAAGACTAGTTTTCCACTCTCCGCATGGATCTCATAACTGGTTATGCCCCACGTAGCAAGCCTTTTTCTCTCCCACAACAATTGTTCCTCCTTCGACAGTCTGTTTGTGCTTGATACACTAAAATTATTTTATGACAGATCCTGTTGCTTCTATCGACGGATAATACAAGCAAATCAGATGTCTTAAACTACAGCGATGTGTACCTCTGGAAATTTGCTTCTATGACGGGCTGCCAATGTAGACGATAGCCATTGGCATGATCTGCATGTGCGATGTCTACGTACAAAAGCGTAGTCTCCCATCCATTACTCGGAGTACTGAGGAAATAGATTCTCGTTCTAAAATAAAAAGAAAAAAATATAACCACGTGTTAAATCTCGATACAATTCTGAAGGTATTCTCGTCGCATGAACGAGTTTGCTCACCGGCCGTCCGGAAGTGAACGGAAAGTTATAGACCCGGGCACAGAACCAGCGGACACGCCAGATAACTTCCTCCTGAGATCACTGACAACGGTGCGGAGCTCGGACCAGGATTTTCGCGGTACCGTGCTGTCAGGAGTAGCTTGCTGCTCTCCGCCCACCTCATTGCTGCCACTTGTAGTTTCCATATTTTCCATACGCTGCTGCCGGGCTTTCCGCGAAGTCATTCGTCGTCCAGCCGACACATCCGCGGCCGTCTCATGTCGAAAGATGTCAACAGCCGAAAACAGCGTGTGCGCGACGAGAGCAACTCTCGGACGACGACGGATATCGCGCGACCACGCAAACTTTGCTTTAGGAGATTTTATTTTTAGGTTATACAGCCGTGGTTCTCACACCGCTGTCGCCGTGACAAAAGGGCTCTTTCACTTTCACCTTCTTCCTCTCCCGAGATCTCGATGGCCTTCTCGCAGCACCTCGGCGGTCTCTCCCACCTCCCGGTTCCGCGCGCGACGTTAAATTCCCGAAATCGCGTACTCACACCACCACCGTCACCGTCATCACCACCACCATCACCACCACCACTACCACCAGACCACCACCATCACTATTCACCACCAACGCTGCCGCCGTCGCTGCAGCCGCGCGATTTCTCGTGCCAAGAATCGTCAAAATTCGCTAAAGTTCGAGCTGTCATCCGAGTGCTCGCAGATGACAGTAATAACCCACGTTGCCGCCGTCAGCCTCGACGGGATTCGCATCGGATGGTGGTGCGTCGCGATTCACAGCTGATTCGTATCGCGTGCAGCGTAGCACGTGTGAGGCGGCGAAGCACGTGAGGATAGGAGGCATGTGAGAGATGTTTGTGTGCGTGTGTGTATACGTATACATGCACCACACGAGTGGAGACGATAACACGCCGATCTCCTCATCGCACGCAATATTTTTGCGAATCGTTTTGAGACAAATTATAATACGTTTTTTAAATGTAAAACCATTCCGGTTCATCCAACCGTCTTCGCTCTCTCTCGTCTACTTCTTTTCTCCTCGACACTCGTCTCGTGCGATCCAGAAGCTGTTATTCTGGTTAGTAAATTGTATATTAATTCGTATTGCGGTTTGTGGTTAACGATTAATTGGGTATCAATTTGTATTGATTTGTGGCCACTCGATGAGATATTGAGATAATTTGCGTTGATTGTGCAACTGTATATAATGCTTAATGCTTTGGAGAG